ATGGGAGGTCCCGGATCGGGTTGCTATCGGCCGGAATGCGAGGTAGGTGGGGGTATATACTAATAAGGAACAAGGATGTGGGTGTGGGTGTGGGTGTGGGTCAAGCTAGCTAGCTCGAGCGAGTCAAGCATGGCATGCCCATTCCCGCCCGCCCTCCCACAACATAAGAAACAGTGATGGCACAATTGGGGGCTGCGCGGGCATTTCAGTGCCAGTGGAGGATACCCCAGGACACCGCATTGACGTCCGCGCGGGATGTGCGCCGCGTCCCATTCCCGCCACGCATTTCGCATCGTCGACGACAAGACTGGCCATGTTGAAAGGAAAAACGGCAACTCTGTTTTGTTTTTTACAGTCTGGATGGGAGGGCCCGCAGCCCGCATGGACGTCCGCGCGCGATGTGCGCCGCGTCCCATGGCTGCCACATATTTCGCAGCGTCGGCGACAAGGCAGGCCGTGCTGAGAGGAAAAAACGGAGACTTTGTATTGATTTTTTAAACAGTCAGGATGGGCGGGCCCGGATTGACGGCCGCGCGCGATGCGCGCCGCGTCCCATATGCGCGCTGCGTCCCATGGCCGCCGCATATTTCGCAGCGTCGGCGACAAGGCAGGCCATGCTGAGAGGGAACAACGGGGACTTTGTATTGATTTTTTCCAGTCAGGATGGGCGGGCCCAGATTGACTGCCGCGCGCGATGCGCGCCGCGTCCCATTCCTTCCACGCTTTTCGCATCGTCGACGACAAGAAAGACGATGTTGAGAAGAAAAACGGCAACTTCGCATTGAATTTTTACAGTCCGGATGGGAGGTCCCGGATCGGGTTGCTATCGGCCGGAATACGAGGTAGGTGGGGGTATATACTAATAAGGAACAAGGATGTGGGTGTGGGTGTGGGTGCGGGTGTGGGTGGGCGGGCGGGCGGGCGTGCGTGCGTGCGTGCGTGGGTGGGTGGATGGGTGGGTGGGTGGGTGCGTTCGTGCGTGCATGCGTGCGTGCCTGCGTGTGTGGGTGAGTGCGTGGGTGGATGGGCGGGTGGGTGAGTGAGTGGGTGTGTGTGTGTGTCTGTGTGTGTGTCTGTGTGTGTCTGTGTGTGTCTGTGTGTGTCTGTGTGTGTGTCTATGTGTGTCTGTGTGTGTCTGTGTGTGTGTGTGTGTGGGGGGGTGTGGGGGTGTGTGGGTGTGTGGG